CTGTTATAAGTTATTGCTGCTGTATCTCTGAAATCATATCAAAACTTTAAAAATCAATCTTTAGTAATGACTCCAAGTTTTTAGACTTGCTCTGCTTCAGAGAGCTGTAATTGTTCACCTCCTTCTCTCTTGAAGCTGTGGGTTCTGCTCTCACATTCAGTCTTTGTTGTTCATCTTTATCAATAGAGTTATAGATTAAGCAGTTCTTGGAACTGAAGAAATTGTGCTTCCATGGGTATGGACATGTATGTCTCTGAACAAGAACTGATTGATGGATGGTGACAGGGTCCAGTCACTTGATCCGTTTCTGGCTGCTTTTCCAAATGCATTAGCAGAAAGCTGGATTGCTAATAGAACAGCTGGAACAGAAACATGTGCCCAAATGGGACATCAACATCGCCGTTGGTGGCTTAACGCAATGTGCTACAACACAGTCCTAAGATATCCCTGGTTTTGTTTATGTTAGGTCAAGCTGAAATTCTTTAATTTCAACCAAAAGTATAGTGGGTAAAGGCATGTGTGCGTGCATATGCACACGAACACACAAACAATTGATACATGTATCTCTCTTGCGCATGCCCATCACACAATGCTGCTCAAGCGAGATGTTCTGCTGGGTTCCAAGGCTTGAACAATATTCTCCCTTTACATTTTGTAATGAGTTCAATGTGGGTAGCAAGAGGAGCAGAATCAAACACGATATTAAGGTAACTACTTTAAATGTGAATTTCTATGTATCTAGACCCAGTTTTAAACTTTCCTTTACATAAATTTTTCCCTACCCTCACCTCTTTTATACTCATTTCTTTTTATAACTTTTATTCCTAAATAGGATTTTTCCTCATCACTAAAACTGGGAGATTCAATTAAATTAAAAAAGCAAACCTAACAGGGCATCAGTACTAGACAACTGTTGTTTCATAAATAAAAATGAAAAGACTTCAGAAATTAAACTGTAGGTACTGAACTAGTAACAAAGCCTATCTGAGAGTCTGGTATTATCAGACGGAACCCTCTGCCATCCTTGACTTTGATGCAAGTTGGTAATTCACTCAGTCTTGACCAAAAGTTCTTCGACTTCCGTTTCAGACTGACAAAAAGCATGCATTATTTTAGCAGTTAGAAACTCTTCTCTCTCCTTGTTGGCAGTAATGAAACTTGGCCCACAATCTAAAATGCTGCCTTCTTGGGCAGAAAACCCCTTCCTCCCAAGAAAATTGGGGTGTTTATTCTTTTGTGATAAAACATTTGCACAGATTTTTTGCTGTTGTTGAAATGAAAACCTTCTTCATTGATATCCTTACTAGTGACCATTGCAGATTTTTTTTAATAGAGAGTATATAAAGTTGCAGTAAAATTTAATACAACCTTATCTCCTTCCACTATGCATCTTTTCTTGGTCCTTCTGTAACAATCATATCTTAGATTTCTCCTATTAAGCAACTAACAATCAAAACAATCTTTGCACACTGCCTCCAGCTGGCTGCCTGGCTTCATACCTGAAACAAAGCAGTGAGGGTCCACACTAAACCTGAGAGCCCTTCTCTAACTCATTGTGAAACACCAGGCGGGAAAGGCAGGCCACCCAGGAGTCTCTGGCTCTCCTGCTTTCCCATATCTCCCACCGTGACTCTCCCCCACATCTCACACTTGCTCTCACATTTCTCATTCATCCAGCAGGAGCTTTTGCTCTCCTTATTTAGAATGCATTATCTTCAGAATTCCCTCTCCAAGCACATTCCATTTTTTTTTTTTAAGAAAACCTATTGTGATTAACCTTATTTGATCCTAAGCATTCTCCTCCCAAATCTCTTATATTCTGAATATATCATCTGGTGTTTCCATTTGGTTGCTCTCTGTTCATGTTCCACAGTTCACAGTCGGCAGCAAATATTTTTGAAGTACCTTCACAACCTTTTGGTGGTGACAGTATGAATCCTAAAGAACTAACATGGGAAGCTCACCATACTCCAGATACAATGTTAAGTAATTCACTACCACAGTGTTTAGAACCCCTGCAGATAGTTAACCATCAATACAGCTGTGGGCCCAGCGGCGTGGCCTAGAGGCTAAGGTCCTCGCCTTGATAGTGCCTGGGATCCTCTATGGTCACTGGTTCTAATCCTGGCAGCTCCACTTCCCATCCAGCTCCCTGCTTGTGGCCTGGGAAAGCAGTCAAGGATGGCCCAAAGCCTTGGGACCCTGCACCCATGTGGGAGACCTGGGGCAAGTTCCTGGCTCCTGGCTCCTGGCCCCTGGTTTCGGATCGGCGCAGCACTGGCCATTGTGGTCACTTGGGGAGTGAATCACCGGACAGAAGATCTTCCTCTCTGTCTTTCCTCCTCTTTGTATATCTGACTTTGCAATAAAAAAAAAGTAAATCTTTTTAAAAAATACAGGTGTGTTATTAATATTCATAGCTCTGTGAACTGATCTTCTTGCTATCTCTATCTCAGAGAGAAAGAACTTATGAAGTACAGAGAGTAACATAACTTTCCCAGGAACACAGCGCTTCCTAGCAGAAGACGCACATAAAAACTTTGATACATAGACATATCCTTACCAGTGATTCTTTTTGCAATAGTGCCCCTGCGGTTTCTGATCAATGTATTCTGCACTTCAGGTAGCTTTTACTTTGGAAGTCATTCTGTTTTTTAAATCCAATTGCCACAAAAAGGGGGCTTCAAAAAGACTCTGGGGGAAAAAATGGGAAGTTAAGTTCTTAGTGCAAAACATTTGAAAATAATGTTATTTTCATAATACACACTTTGATAAACTTTTGGAAGACCTCTCACAATAACAAGGAAAAAGAAACAACTATTTGTAGCTCCCTAGGGAATTTCCTTTTGAAATTTGAAGGCCTTTGAAACATATGTCCTTCGGGAACGCAACCTTTTTTTTTTTAAGATTTATTATTATTATTTTTTTATTGGAAAGGCGGATATACAGAGAGAAGAGACAGAGAGGAAGATCTTTCGTCTGATGATTCACTCCCTAAGTGAGCGCAACGGCCGATGCTATGCTGATCCAAAGCCAGGAGCCTCTTCCGGGTCTCCCACGCGGGTGCAGGGTCCCAAAGCTTTGGGCCGTCCTCGACTGCTTTCCCGGGCCACAGGCAGGGAGCTGGAAGGGAAGCGGGGCTGCCAGGATAGAACCAGCGCCCATATGGGATCCCGGACGTGCAGGGCGAGGACCTTAACCACTTGTGCCACCGCGCCGGGCCCTGCAGCCTTTTTTTTTTTTTTAAACATGCCTATATTGTTTAGGAACAGAGTTTTTGCTGTATTAATATACCACTTCCATCACCCTTTTCAGCCAGTGTTGTTGACTGTTTTTAACCTGCAGCCACCCATACCTCATCTTTGCCCTGTTTAAGGATAGTCCCTGGGATGGTGTGAGCAACATTGCGAAGGAAATGCTCCCTAAAACTGTTAAGACTTCACCCTGATCATGCAATGGCAAAGGGTGAAGAGCCCAGGTTTACTGTTGTCTCCCCTGGGTTCCAAGGAGCATTCCCATCCCCCCTCCCTCCTGCCCTTTTCTCCTGACCCTGCCTCTCACTGGCCTCCCTCTTCTGCTCTCCTTTAGTTCTCTAGGCCTGGGGTCTATCCAAAGGCTCCCCGGATCTATGCCAGCTGGCAGGATCCCTGAACAGACTAAGCCTGTTCCTTCTCACTGAGGCTTCTTCTGCCCCCCCCCCCCCCGGAGGATCCCATCCTCATAAGCTACCAATCTCCAGTCTGCGCCCACCTCTACAGCCACAGGGCAACTGCGGCACTCTGGATTTCCACGCAGTGGAACAGTGGGACTGAAGACCACACCAGATGCGCAGGGAGCAGGCGAGCACCGAGTCATTGAGAAGTCCATTTCCTGCAGGGACTGCAGTTGGCAGCTGCAGCCACTGAGGGTGGCCAGCCGGCTCCCCACCTGGGCCGAGAGGAGGCTCGAGTGCGCTCACTCTCTTGGCGGGCAGGACGCGGTGACAGGCTGACTCCCATCGGCTGTAGCGGGGGTTCCGAGAGGACTCGGTGGCCTCTAGGCCCTGGGAACCCAGATGCTTGGAAAGGAAGCCGGAGCGCCCAGCGGTGCTCGCTCCAGCAGGCGGAGGCCTCTGCTCCTGGCTGTGCCGCCTCCCGCCCTAGAAATGATCCCAGGCGTTGCCAGCGCGATTCCAGAGCCCCACTCGGGTGCGTTCTTTTGTTTCTTTGTGTTAATGACAATTCCCAGCCCTTCGGCATGTCATGCGCAATTATTCCCCCAGCCCTCTCTCCAAGGCAGCTGGGGTAACATTTTCTCTGCATCATCCCTTTGGGAATAATTGTTTATGATGTGACGTCAGCCGAGTTGCTTTCCCCAGCTTGAATGAGAGAGGGAGGGAGGGAAGAAGAGAGGGAGAGACTCAGAGACGAGTGCTGAGACCGTAGATACCGACGACGTTTGGAATTCCTTCAGGGCAAAAGAAGATTGGAATTAGAGCTCCAGGGTGTGCTGCTAAGACTTAGGACTGCTCAAAATTATTGAGAAGTTTTTCTTTAAAAAAAAAAAAATATCTCTGCAGCAGCGAACCACTTGGATGCTGCTGTTTCAGCTGCAGGGTACATCCTCCCACCCCCACCCCCGTTAAGGTGGCAGTGCAGCTGCCTTAGGTGGGGAAGGAAGAAGGGCTGTTCACTGAGGAATGGGAGGCGGCGGGCGGGGGTGAGGGTAATGAGGCCGGGAAATCGGTTCTGGGCGCTCTCGGGGGGTATTGTGTCAGGAGATGCAGGCTGGCTACCATGTGACGCGGTCCAGAGCTGAAGGGATTGGCCCAGGCAGCGCAGGCGGTGCAGCCGGCCGGCTGGCTGTTCCACTGCCTTTCTCTCTCAGCATCTTCCCAGAGCCTGTAGGTGAAGCCGCAGCAGCAGCAGCATCGATGGCCTGCCTTTTAGGTTAACACTTGTCTCCTGTGGTTTCTGCAGCCCGGACAGCCGACCTCAGCAGCCGCCTTGGGAGGACTTAGCTGGGATCTGGACTTCTACCCACCGGTGTTTTTTCAGACTCCTTGCAAATTAAGGAATGCAATTCTGCCACCATGATGGAAGGTAGGATACGTTGTGTTTTGGTTGACTGACTTGACTTCGGGCAAGGTCTGAGCAGAAGAGAGTAGAAAATTGTGTGCAGCTGGTGTTTGTGTGTTTCCGGAGCCCAGTGGCCAGGGTTTTTGCAAGCAGAAATGCTGTAGTTTGCTTGCAATGGAGCAGGCTCAGCTAATGGGATCAAACCACAGGACTCCAGCCTGGCTCACAAGGGACAGCGATCCTGGCTTCTTTGAGAGAGAACACACTGAAGTGTTTGCAGGGAGCTGAGATAGAGCTGGGGATAAAGCTTGCAGAAAGAAAATAAGTTGGGAAAGGAGATAAGGTTTTGTGCATTGGGTTCCTGGGACTACGCTGATTAAACATTTACAATGGAAACTTGTTTTCGGAAATTGACATTAGACAGAAGAGGTCATTGAGAGAGTTAGCCACAGTCATTGTCAGGGAATTGCTTAAAAATTTTGCAGAGCTTTGTATTTCCTCAATTCACATCTTATTTGTGGGGGAGGGTTTAAGAGGTGCAGCAAATTAAGTCTATGTAGTTTTATGAGGATGTCACTGCAACAGAATATGAGCAATACAAGGAAAAGATCCAGGCCTCCTGGCTCCTGATTCAGGGTCTTATCAGGTTAAAAAAATTTTTTTGTACATCCTAAATGCATTCTTCATGCAGTAGATTTTTGCAAAGCATCAAATGATTATTGCCTGATTCTCTTTTTGTATGCAACACTAGGTATAAGGGGGAGCTTTCCTTGGGAACAAGCTATTAAACTCTGTTTTATTCTAGTAAATTACCCCTCCAAGCCCAGACAGTGACAGTCAAGATTGCCTCAGAAAAGCAGTAAGCTGATCAGGAAAGAAGCAGGCAGCTCTATGCCGGCTTTGATTTTCTGTTTTCACACTCCAGGATGGTGCAAAACTCCCGGCCTTTCCTAAGATGACAGGCAGAAATTTGTCACCAGCCTGGATTTCACAATGCAGAATTCAGTGCAGAATGGGTCTTAAATCAGCCATGAAAATGGCAGAGAGGCCACCTCTTAAGCTAAGGTCGGCCCTACACATTTTAAATGCTTCTTAGGAATTCACTAAAACGGATAAGCAATGATGGTTAGAAAAACAGCAGTAGAACCTGTACTTATTTGGCAGAAATAAATCATTTTCACTTTCTCTGTCATTGTATCAAATACTGTTCATGTAATTTAGGAGTGAGATGGTTGCTAGAGTTTAAGCACATAGCTTTTAGAGAATAACCTCAAAGGAGAGACTGGGTATCAGTTCTTTTATATATATATATAAAAGTATATATATATATATATATACTGATACTCGGTGTGTATATATATATATATATTCTGTTCTTGTTTGCAAATGACTCTCTAGCTAGCTCTTTCATTGTGGGCTTAAACTGCTAATGCTCAGATTAAATTATTAATTTAAAAAAGCATTAATCTTTGAATAGCAAGCAAAGCAAGCAGAAAGTGTATTACTTATGTATTTTTAAATTAAAAGCTTATGTTGACTATCTTCTTCTGAAAACCAGTCCTACAGAGGTACCCTATTTCTTCACCTACATTTTGTATGGCTCTTAATAACACAACTGCATAGATTTTTATTAGATTTCCATCTTACATGCAGAGTTAGAACAAGCTTTCATTTTACTTCTTGTGTTGCAAACCACAGAACTAGTATGTCTGTTTTCCTGAAGGCAGTAACGTGTGTTGATGCTCACTAGTGATTCTTCTGGTAATTTGGTCTATTGTGCCACCTCAGAATGTCAGTTTGAAGCACTGTGATAAGCTTATCTGAGCTGCCTAACCTGAAATGAGAACTGTAACAAAGCCTTGTGCTGGAGCTGAAGCAGCATGATTGCTCCGACTTTGCCAAATTTATCTAATGATGGATGTTATCTTAGCACTGACAGCAATTGGAGGTGATACCGTGGATATGGGTGACTGCTATCGGATGGTTGCAAGTGGACAGGTATTCCCACTGGTTTAAAAATTTAAATGGAAATGTTTTTATTCTCTGTAGTTGCAATCACATAATTTCCAAGTTTTATTATCTTAGTGGTTCAGGGGCCTTAGAAAGGCAGTTAGAAAACTTAGCCAGAAATCAATTTGCCTATCAATAGCCTTTCCACTTCACTGACACTCTTTGATAATATATGCTCATGCTTATGATATTTCATCCCAGGACTTAACCTTTGAATTGGTCTTACTCTGAGGATGTGGTATAGTAGTTGCTATTTCCACTTAACTCAGCCCTAGATAAGACCAAGCTGTTACAGTTTTCTCAATGTTCTTGAAAAGATGAGGAGTCCCCTCCAAGACACCCTAAAGTCATTTTATGACAGCCTCTACTGAAGTATCAGTGAGTTCTGAGAATACGGCCCCAACATCCAGATAGTTGAAATGAGGCCTGTACTCAACTCACCAGTCTCTGTCTCTCTGTTTCTCTCTCTCACACACACATACACACACACACACTCTCTCTTTCTCTCTCACACACACACAAACACACACACTCTCTCTCACACACACACAAACACACACACACTCTCTCTCTCACACACACACACAAACACACACACTTCTAAGAGGGAAGGAAAATGTATTTGCTTGTGGCAATACACAGACATGGATAAAGTATTTGAGTTTGTGCTCAAATAAAGCTTGGCCATGGCAACTTTTCAAGGCTGTTTCCTCACTTTATGTTAGACAAGAGTAAACAAATATTCATCAAAATGGCTAGTAGTTTGGTTTTGTCATCTCACTTGTAGAGACAGTATATAGACTCCATTGCTTTAATGCCTACTGGAAATTTTGTAATAGGTGAGAAATGTTGCTCCCTCTATAGTGATTTTAGTATCTTAGGAAGGAGATACACAATACTGCAGAGACCAAGATTACCAGTAGTTTTGGTTCCATAGTCCACTTTAAATATTATTTTAAAAAAAAACATTTCAAAGAACTTTGATTTGTCACTTCTTGTATTTTTTATTTTGGGGCAGTGGTTGGTATTAAGTTGGTTCTTGCTTGAAGAAACCTGTATGATGGAGTGGTGTCTAGTGTCGTATAAATATGAAGGTAGTAATTTGCTAAGAGGCATTGCCTATGCATACAACACAGGCTAAGTGGTTAGAACAGCAGTTTGACTGGACTTTCCCATAATTTTTAAAGAGTAAATATGGCCTTCTAAAAAAAATGCTTCCTTCCCCAAATAAATAAAATTAAGCCAGGACTTCTTACCATATCTATCTTTGAGATTGCCTGGCAAGCACCTTCCTTGGGCTTGTACAATTAACCAAAGGCATTTTGTCTTTGAGTACATATTCAGGCTTTTAGCAGCATACTAGAAAGATATGTTTCTGGGTGTCCATGATTCCATTCCATTCTAAGTAGCTTTTTTTTTTTAATTAGCAAAAAACTTGCAGGACCTTTTGAACTTCAATGTGTATGATATTTACTGCAGATAATAACATATAAATAAGGGCATCTTACATACAGTACTTCTACTGCACATTTTCTAGTTATCGAAAGTAAAAGCACAATACACTAAGGAAGAAGAATGGTGGAATGAAATTTGAACTCAAGGACATTTAACAGTGATGCTCTAGGAACCTTTTCTTTGTGCATCATGTAGAGCGGGTTGTGTTTATCTAATTGAAAAAGATTCCTTGGTTTATGTGGTTGCATTTTCTGTTGCTATTTAAAGTATAATCCAAAATTATTATTTAAATGCACAATTCTAGATTAATTGTTCCTGTAATGAAGCTTCAAAGTAATAATGGCTTTTATTCCTACTTAGACATGGAGTTTTGTAACCTTTGGAACATTTTTTTAACAAAAGGAAACCCATGGTATCTTGAAGCAAGATCTGTTAATCGAGAATTTTTAAAGGGAATATTTCTGGACCCCTCTCCAAAAGTGATGAAGTTATTCCAGAAAAATCTAAGCATGTGAGATTCCAACATTACAGCCCATCACTTACATAATTTTTCTTCTTCCTCTGGGTTCTGTTTTAAGCAGAGACTCTTTAGAATTAGAAGTGTTCATCCTCTTCCTGGGATCAATTTTAAACTCCTAAAGAAAAAAAGAAAAACGTTTCTTTTTTCCTGAAGTGATACAAATCAGCCATGTCACAACATCAGATAACTCTTTCTTTTGAATTTGACACATGCACTGTGTTTCAAACAAACAGAATGTCAGTAAAACTTAATTTGTATGTCCCTGAATGTATGTTAGTTGGTTACTTGAAACATGTTTTTCCATAGAATAAGAGACAGAAATGCTGTTTAACATCTAACAGTAGTTCATTGGAAGCTATTAGCCCAATATCTAGCAAAATACTAAATATCTACCATCGCTATGAAAGGAACAATTTGGTTACCACGGTAATTAGCCAGAACAGGATAATAGCATTGTGTTTCTAATTTTAAATATTACTGCTTGTATTTGTGCTTAGCTTTCTGGCACCATTAATTTAAGTTAGATTTTTTCCTTAATATGTATTAATTTAAAGAAAAATATGTCATGCATTTCATAGTAACAGTACTAAGAAGTTAGCCATTATGTTTTCCCTCACACTCTTTGCTCAATCCTCCTTTTCTTTCCTTTTTTAAAATTTTTATAAAAACATAATTTCAGTTCATTTTATAACCATATACTTAATGTGCAACCAAACAAAATATTAAACAAATTCTTTACAAAGAAGTTTTAATTAGAGAACAACGAGAATTTAAAGAGACAATCCTAAGATTTTTCAGACAATATTTTTGGTCTATTTAGCAATTTTAGTCTCTTGACACTGGGTTACTTTAATATGATGTACATATCTGTGACTTGCTTACTCAATTTTATCCTAAGAAAGCCTCAGACATTGTGATTAATGTCATTATACATACTCAGAAATGAAATTAAGAGAGGGTGAAAGAATTTACTGAGATAACTGTGAAGGAGTTGGGAAGGAGATAAAGGATAAGGATTAAAGGGGATTTGGGCTCATCC